AAAAATCCATTGTTACTCCGTAACTATTGAAAATCGACCACAAGTTTATAAGGAAATTTTGCAGGAAATAACCCCAGGAATATGTACCATAAGCCGGGGTAAAACTTCGTGAATCACCCTGTATATAAATTAAAATTTATCTGGGACTCGAATTTAGGACTCTTCAATGTTCTGAGAATGCAGTAAGAAACTTCCTGAATGGTTAAATATTCAATCGATGCACCTTCGGACATCAGGCAGGTAAAACAGAAAGGAAAACATATCTTTTACTTGTGATATTTCTCTTGTGTCAGCATCTTTTAAGGTGTATGTTCAATGAGCAAACTGTTGCTCTTCGTAATTTTACCGCGTCCTAAGACCACTTACTGTAAACTCCCTTCCTGAACCATGTTTAAATTCAAACAAAATTCACAAAAAGATAAATTTTACCTGCATTTTCGTTTGGGCGTCAGACATTGTCTCATATTAAGGGTGGAATATACTGAGGGTATTTTAGAACAGGGTGCTATGGAGAGGGAAGAGGGATGAAATAATAGGGGGCTGAAGGAAGTTGCTTAGTAAGGAGCGTCATAATTTGCACTCTTCGCCAAATATAATTAGAATGATCAAGTCAAGGAGGATGGGATAGGTAGGACATGCAGCACGCATGGAATGAAGAGGAATGCGTGCAGCGTTTTGATGGGGAAAAAAAACTTTAATGAAGGAGGCCAGTGGGGACGTATAGACGTAAATGAGAGGATAATATTAAGGTAGATATTTAGAGCGATATAATGAGGTGTTGTGGACTGGATTAATCTGCCTCAGGATAGGGACTAGTGGCGGGCTCTTGTGAACGTCGTAGTAAACTTCGGGTTTCATAACTCTGGAAATTCTTGAGCAGCTGAGCGACTGGCGGTTTCTCAAGAAATACTCGGCTCCATGGAGTTAATGAAGCTGTGTTTTATTATACATTGTGTCGTAGGAGATACTTAATTTTACTGTATTACTGTATTCGGCGAGGCAAACCAAAGCGTTTGGCAAATTTATTCAAAGGGAACTGTGATTAATGTGGTTGGTGACAATTTCATTAAGATTTTCATGCATGAGTGAATTTTAACCGACATTGTTCGAATCTGTGGTACCGGGAAAATCCATTTTACAGAAACATGTCCTAGTGAAGCATCCAGAACTTGCGTTTACGTGTGTAAGTGCATGGCCGAAAAAGTTAAATGAATTCCAAACAGCCTGGAGAACGCTGACCTGTATGCAGCTGTATGATTTTCGTATCCACCTTCCTAAAATTTCACGCTCCGACTGCCAGACTCCTAGCTACGTGAGTAAACATTTTCAACGCCATGGCGTCACGGCCACATAACTTTTCTCTCATTAAGTTACAAAAAAACAGCTTCGCAATAACAGACAGACTGTTGGAATGCAACCAGAATGTCATGGTACGTTGCATACGTAAACTTTATATAAAATAAGTTAAAGCTTTTCCTGTAACAGGCCGTGTAGGCCTTAGGGTTGTAAGACGTCGATGCTCCCACATTTTCTCTAATCAGTCGGCTCACAGATGGCAGTAAGTTTATGAACATTACGCGCCGGCAGCCCTCTACCCGCAGGAAGATACCTCTTTTTTTTTTGTATCCATATATTTGTACAATCAGCCCATTGTGGGCTATAAGTAAATCTTATGTGAGACTTAATCTAAAGCTTAAATACTAAGTGAGAACATGTCGGGGAGAGTAATGCTCCA